GTGGGTTTTTTTTGTTTTGTTTTAGGGTAAAATAGTAAAGAGAAGATTAGAAAGTTACATCGCCAAAGGGACGGACCTCCCTCCTTGAAAAAAAAATACGGCAGAGAGCAGCCCCGGCTGCTCGTCAGTTCGAGAGGAAGGTCCCTCCGAGTTCCTGCTCCAGGGTCTGTCTGCTCCTCTCTTGGTCCAATCCGAGCTTCCTCCCTTGCTTGTTTCTTTTGTCTCAAAACACACCCTCTGCTGTCAGAACCAGCTCCAGCTGACCCTCCAGCCGGCTTCCACAGGCTGTAAGCTGCATGGGAAGAGACTGTTCTATCTTTCTCCCATCGGCTGCGATAGAGCAACTGGTGGATTAGATCTGGCCGAGAGGAGCGGCTTCTGGGTTAGCAGCACAACTCCTTACGGACGAAGTCACCAGAGCGCTCTTACCCACAGGCTCGAGGTTTGGATTTATAACTTGTATTTTGAGGGGCATACATGCTACAAGATGTCATTAAAACAGCATCGAATCCACCTCAAATCTGAAAGCACACAGTTCAGTTGTCTGTAGTTTTTTGAGTTGTATAATCTCTTTAATCTCTGGATTTTTGTGTCATCCTAAAAAGAAACCGACACCTCTCAGCCACTCCGCATTTCCCCTTCTGCTTCCTTGTCTCTCATTTCTACTCCAGCGTCACGTTTCTGCCTCCGGTCTCTTCGCCCAGCCCTGCCTCCTCGTTTGCTTGTTTGACCTTTTTCGTGTCTCAGAAGAGGCCAAGACACACTGGCCATTCAGTGAGGCCCTACTCCTAGCTGACCCTCCTGAGACTGTGAACTGCCTGCCTAAAAACCAGGCCCACTGCTGCTGACTGGATTCTGACTCATGGTTCTGGGGCTGTAAATCTCACCACAAAGAGACTACCTGGCTTCCCCGAGACCAGCTGGTGGGTTTGAGATTTGATGTTTCTGCCCGTTACCTGAACCCTTCTAATTCTACAGAAATCAGAGACGTGAGACGCTATCAACATTCGGTACAATTCTCATACTTGCTGCTTCTCCCCAACCTGTGTGAAATACAAATGGAAAGTCCTTTCCTTCCTATGAAGTGGACCTTTCCGTTCCAGGCTTCTTCTCTCTCCTTCTTCGCTCCTTAAGATAGAAGAGGCCCCTACATACACAAATATTGCAAAACATGATGATTCTAGGAAACTGGCTGACTTTTGTAACATCCGCCTGTCAGGTGGAAACAGCCCGAGTTCAAGAGAACTGCAGGAGGGCCCAGTGAGGTCACGCAGGTCTGCACCAACGTGGTACTGACCGCCAACATCATGCAGGCCGGCCACTGACTGCTGCCTCGCACGATGTTCTGATCTTTTCAGGGGACTGTGAGCTACTGACCATTCGGTTCACGGTACAACACTTAGCCTGATGTAGCACGATCATCCCAGGAAGGGCGTAAACCAACAGAACTCACAGCCTGCCTCGGTTCTGACCTCTAGTGGTGATCCACAGGGCCTCTCAGGCTGTGGACTGTGAGAGCAGCTGCCCACCTTGCCCCTTGGAGTGGCTGGAGGATTCAAATCTTCAACTTTTTGGTTAGCAGGCCTATTTATCATGTTATATCACCAGAGGCAGGGGTGGGGAGACTTGAGACATGCCCCAGCCTTTGGAGGAGGAAATCATGCTTGGAAAAGAAGAGGGGAGGCAGAAGACTTGTAATGATAGATAACTTAGTGCGATAACGGGCTTGAACCCACGGTGACAGGACAGCGGCGGTGGCCAGGCCAGGGCGGTCATCCTGTTCGTCCGGTCTGCAGGAGTGACAGCACCAACACCATTCTTAGGACGCCTTGCCTAAGTTGTTAAGAGGCAGAAAAGGCCAAAAGCATTTGGGTTGAAAACTCTCTAAGCAGAGTTAGTTTCTTTAAATGTGGTTTCTTTCGTTCAAGCGTTGGCCACTGTTCAGGGCCTGATTCCGGTCCCGTTTTATAGGCTCTGTTCCACCAGCGCGTCAACATTGCACATTTCGAGTCTCCCTACCTGTTACTTCTCGTTTCTTGTGAGAGTGGATGTTTCCTCCTAATCGGTGAACTCCTGACCCTCAGGGCCTTTATCTGAGAGGTTCATTTGAGGCCTGGGGCTGAAACGTCCTTTCAGAGAGCGTGTGCCAGCTGTGGGTAAGAGAGCACTGGGTACTACTGACTGGCGACCGTCTGACAATCTCAGCTTGTTGACTCCAGGATAGTGTGAACTGTTGCCAATCTGCCCAAGGGACCGTTGTGGTTGGGAGACCCTCCCCTCTCTCTCAGGGCCCTCGGCACCATTTCTGACAGGTTCATTCTTTCATTGAGGGGAGTGCCTTTTTGGGCTCTGAGCTTCCTCATCTTCTGAGGCCCTCAAGCTCTGACTTCTCGGGGGGCTGCAGATGGGCTTGGTGTGACTGTCCACTCCAGCACTCTGGGGGCTCTTTGGAAGTTAAGCCTTCTCATTCTCTTGCCGCTGCTGTTTCCTCCTAGCTCACTCTTGAGAGATGAATGTCCTCCTCAACTCCCCCATATCAGTCTGTCACACCACGTCTGGAATGGAGTGTCAGTGGTGGATGTGCATACTGAGAATTTTTCTTATCGGGTTTTTTAATCACAGAAAAAAAGGGAAGCTGTAGCCCAGAAGGGAAGTATTTTCGCTGCTACTTATCAAGTTACTGACGGGAGTTTATTCTGAAAGGTGGCTTTCCCTGGATGATCTCAAGTAAAAGAACTATGCTTAAACTTTAAATTCAGAGAGCAGAAATACAGAGCAAAGAGGCTCAGCTAACAGAGATCAAAGCACAGAAAGTTGCGAGCTGTTAAGAGCTTTAAAGAAGCAGCGTGAAGAGGGCCAGTTCAGAGTCTGAGCTGCTGAGTAAGAACTTGTGGTCAAATATTCAAAAAGAACTAGCTTTACAATGTTGTTGTTGTTATGTGCCATCGCGTCATCTGCGACTCATAACGACCCTATGTACAACAGCCCTAAACCCTGCTCTACCCTGTGCCAATCTCACCATCTCTGACACACCTGCCCCCAATACCCCAGTCACCGAATCAATCCATCTCATCGAGAGTCTTCCTCTCCTGCGCTGTCCCTCCACCCTCACAAGCATGATGTCCCTCTCCAAGGACTAGTCCCTCCTTGCAACAAGTCCAAAGTACAATAGAGCACACGTTTATTTTAGACAATGTGAACCTTTTAAAAAGAACTCAGAAGTCCTAAGTTCATGTTCTATCTTCAGATGGACTGCATTCACCGTCTGAAGCACCCAACCCAGTGTGTTACAATGCACGGGGTAAGAGATCAAGTCCATGGAATATTCCTGAAGTTTATGTCAGCTCGAAACATCAGACTTGAATCTGCAGAAGTCCCCTGATCTTTCAAGCAGAAATCAGGTGCACCTCTGAGACGTGCTCTCTCCACTGGGGCACAGAGCTGTGTTCTGCTGCGAACAGCCAAAGGGATCCAAGGCCATTTATGCCAGAGCCCCTTCAGTGCAGAAACTGGAAAACTCTGCTTCAGTCAAAAAAGTCAGAGGGAAGTGGGGACCTGGCTGGTGACTTTTTTGGGAGGCAGAACTAGTTATTAGTTATGCCTGTTCCTACACAATAGGCTTCCCTCCCATCATCGCCGCACCTCCGGATGGAGGTCAAGTATTGGCGATCAGGATGCAAACGCCCAACTGAAAGCAGGGAGGAGCTCTCTGGAAGCCTGAACCCTCAGAATGCCTCAAACGGCTTCACAGACTGACCTTCAAGGGAGAAATTTTAAGCAGTAATTTGAAGATGAGTTAGAAGTGTCTATAGTGTAAAGCAAGCTCCTTTACTTTCATCAGCTTATGATTTTTAGCAAAGGATCTCCGTGCTAGGTACCCTTGACCTAGACGGTGAGGCCTTTGTTGTTTGGAATGAAAAGAAACTGAAGCTCAAGTACTAATCAAATGTCCAGGGTTTTCTGATCTGGCTGGAGCTGAAACCACAGAAACATGGTCAACTTCCAAACAATTTTTAAGAAAGAGAAAATACTTGTCATTTGGCTCACTGCACAAATCTCCCAAGGCTGCAGATGCCACGATCCCCAAAGACAAGTCCCAGCTCAGGAAGGGAATGGAAAGATCAAGTTCTACAAGGGCAGCGTCAGTCGGAATTAGCCATGGACCAGAGAGCGACCCGACCTTGATTAGTGTGAATGTACCCAACACTCTGTCACACTCCTCTTGACGTCATAATCATCAGAAACACTTGAGAAGGTAAGGGTGGCAGGGAGCAGAGGGGGTGGGAGGGATGGGCAGAGGCTCAGCCGGACATGTAAGTGGCTGTTAATAATCTTACTGAGGTAAAAAATCACGTGGAACACTACAGTTGCAGATCCAAGCTTTATTTTTGGACTGGTGGTGTTTTAGGATAGAAATCATATATTCTCCAGTGTACTTTCAATATGGCACAAACCTCTTGATTCTCAGAGCTGCAGGACTATTTATCTGCCAGGCTGCTATTTTGAAAGGAAATAAATATACAGAGAAGGCACGGCAGAACAGGCAGACAAGATGGCCAGACGACTACGCTCCGTGACAGGGCCACGTCAAGTCCACGGAGCACTTCCGCACCCTGTCCTTCATCCAACGATCAGAGACTGAAGGGACACGGTGGGTCCTGTATTTACAAAGATGATGAAAATCACACTGGAATCATCCGTGAACCGCAGTGTCTGCACGATTCGACATCAAGGTAAAAAAAGGCTCTTCTGTACAATCGGAGGGCTGCCGAGGGGGGACACGGACTCACTGTGGGGACCGGCTCGCCGGGGAGACTGTGTCCTGGGTGCAGAGCCCGGCGGCGGCTCAGTCGGTGGTGGACCTGCGGTACCAGAAGCGCGCGCGGAAGTCGTCGCTGCAGGTCATGAAGCCGGGGTTGGTGGGCGAGTGCACGATGCAGCGCACGATGTTGTTGTGGCCCAGCGACAGCAGGTTCCGGCGCTCGGCTGTGCGAGAGTCCCAGCAGCAGAGGCTGATGGTCCGTTCGTCCGGCAGTAGCACGTAGTCCTCGGTGTGGTTGAACACGGCCTGCGTCCGGTGCACCTGGCGCCCGCTCAGCCCGGCACCTGCAGAGAAACAGAAGGGTGAGGACCAGTGGCCAGTGAGGCCCGCCCACCTCTGACACAGACCCGAATAGCATGCGTGACGCCACCAGTGACTTGACCGTGGGACCGTTATACTTCCCCACCTAGCACCTCTGGGCGGGCCTCGGCATGAAAACACATCCGTTCCACCAGGTGGGCCCGAGACCCCAGTGTTCAGCTGCAACCCACAGTGACACGCTAAGAGCTGGTCACGTGACCGTTCACAAACGTGGCTGACAGCCCGAAGGACCACGACCACCACCCCTACCACCATGCACACATCTCCACAACCCCTCACAAAGTGATTATTCCCAGTAAAAGACCGCACCCCGGGACTGGCAGTGCAGGAACAGCTCTCACTCAGGACCCTTCCTGGACCCGGATCATGTCTAATGACTCCAGAGAACACCAGGATGAACACCTTACGTGTATATCCTTGTCCAGTCACCTTTGGTTAAATTTCCAAGACAGGGCAGAGTGGGACAATATACACCTCTGAAATTTTGTCCATGACAGCAGCTCACGCTTTGGTGGTACTGTACCGTCTGACACTGTGACTGACTGCACGTGGTCAGCCGTTTACTGCTGCTGGGCAGAACCCCCTCCGCCGGTCCTCCAGCGGGTTTTCAGAGGCTGCAGACTCCACGGCGGCAGACGGCCCATCGTCCCGAGCAGTCTGTGGCTTTGCTCACCTGTGTCTGGGTTGGCAGTGCAGCTCCTCGCCACCAGAGCTCCCTGAGGACAGGTACCATTTCCCTCAATTCTCATCAGTACCAGATGTTATCAATCTTTTTAATTCCGGAAATTGAACCGGCCAAAGAGCTCTGGTGGCTTAGTGGTTAGCAATCGGGCTGCCAACCCAAAAGTCCATGGTTCAACTTCACCCGCAGCTCCAGGGGATGAAGGTGGGCAGTCTCCTCCTATGAGACTTTCTGCCCTTGAAACACCATGGAGGATCAGCTATGGGTCGGTTCCAACTTGATACAAAACAAGAATCAGACAAAAAAGGGAAAACTTCTACTAGACCAGGATCACGTACCTGTGTATCTGACCAGCGTGCGGCCGGTGGAGATTTCCCAGAGTTTGGCTACAGAGTCTTTTCCGCTTGACAGGATGTACTTGGAGTTTTTGGAAAAGATGGCGGAGCACACCTGGGCGCCGTCGTGCGCCTTCTCGAAGGTGGTGATGCAGCGGTTGGAAACGCCGTCCCACAGCTTGATGCAGCCGTCCTTGCTGCCGGTCACGTACATGTTGGCACTGGGGTTGTAGTTAACGGAGCAGATGGCGTCTGTGTGCTGGTCCTGAGGATTGCAGGAGACGAAGCACTGGAAGGTGTTGATGTCGTAAAGCCGCAGGGTAGGGTGCTGAGTGCCCACGAGGATGAAGTCTCCGGAGGGGTGGAAGGAGATGGAGCGCAGCATTTCGGCTTCCTGTGAGGACAAGGACATGGAGGCAGGTGACCCACTGTGGACAACCGCACCCGGAGGACACCCGCCAGCCCACGGAGCAACAGCTGAGACACAACAGGCTCGAGAGGAAACCACAGAACTCGCCAGAATAAAGGACGGTAGAGGTTTCCAAAACTATTTACTGGTGAGGCTGATAAAACCTCAGAACTCCCCACACGCACGAGCTTCGTTTTACATGTAATCCTGGCTGAACTTGAGGAACACCATGCACCGTAAGAGTCTATGGAGCAGTCACACATGATTACTGAAGGAAGAGAAAACCTGTTCATGACGGCTTCTTTATTTTGCTCCAGGGCTTCAAAAATGTGAGCAAAAAACTAGAGCACGACTGTGTGTGTACAGTATCAAAACAAGGCCACTGACATTAAGCCGAGCCTGACCTACAGCGACCCTACACAGAGCAGAATGGCCTCGCACGGTTTGCAAGGCTGGAAATCTTCACACAGTCGACGGCCTCACGTTCCTCCCACAGGGCAGATGCTATGTTCCGACAAACGACCTCCAAGTCAGCAACGCAGCATTTAACAGCCACTGGGCTACCAGGGCCTCTTTAACAAAACTCAGTAAGAAATAACACTTCATTATTAAAGTGGAAACCACCACGACAGTACCAGTGTGTCTGGACTACACAAATCAGGGTTCTAGATGCCACTTTTCCAGCAAATACTTGTTCTGACAGAGTAACTGTGGTTCTGAGAAGTTACACTTGAGTGAAAGGGGTTCTTTTGATTTTTAGCAGAATTTACAACCTTTAGCGGGATGTGGACTCTCCCCTCTCCTCCCCACTGCTTTCACTGGGAAAACTTTTAAAGAAAGAACAGGCCATTCAGACAATGCAGCAGTTCATGGCATTTAAGGAATGAACAGAAGACAGCTTTGCAGACAGCAGCTTCTCACCTGAATGTACTTGAAGGCTCTCTTGGCGGAAGGTTTGGAGTAATCGAACAACTTGAGCGTGTAGTCCCTTGAACCGGAGGCCAGGATCTGCTCTGTTGGGTGGAAGGCCAGACACGTCACTTCATCCACATGGTCGTAGAGCGTTCGGATCACTGGGTGGTTTTCCATGTTCTGCTGTGCAGTCTCGTTCATCATGACCTGGACCAACAAGAACACAGAAGCTCAACACGCAAAATCCAGCTGGGTCTGGATACGCAGGAGAGGATGCTAACACGGGGAAGGGGGCTCCGGCCATGCTCTCCTTCGACTCAGGCACGCAAGGAGGCAGCGGGCAGCAAGGGACCCGGGCTCTCACCTCTATCGGCATGGCGCTCTTTGCCAACATCCGTTCTGTGTCCAGGATCTTTATGGAGGCATCGGCAGACCCGGTGGCTATTAACTGCCCATCTCGACTGTACGTGGCCACACGGCAAGGCCCTTTGTGGGATGTGACGTAGCACGTTTCATACTCGGAAGCTTCTGGGGACATGGTCTGGACATCGGCATCAAACTCCAGGTCAATCCCCGTGCCAGGGGCGACGGTGTCTGAACGGCCAATTGCGTACTGCACCGCACTGTCATCATTTTCCATTCCTGAAAACAACAAAAGCACGGGGATGGAAAAAAAGTCACAACTGTTCCTTTTTTGGGGGGGGTCCCACCGTGGAATTACCTCAGCTGAAAGGGGAGTGGGTGAAGATAAATAAGTAAGAAGAGGGCTGAACAACAAACCCCGCAGGGAAACGGTCCTGGAGAAACGATTCCCTCAGGACTGACGGGACTCAGTGGTTACAGCTCACGGCTGCTAACCAAGAAACGAGGGGTTTGCATCCCCAAGTCACTGCAAGGGCGAGAAGGCAGGCTGTCGACACCCCAGAAATGCCCGTGGCAGCTGCACTGTGCCCTCCAGGCAGCCAGAGGCCGGACCTGACTCGATGGCAGAGGATGCTGGTTCCCTGTTCATATCAGGTTCTCTACAACCTATTTTTTTTTAATTTAGGTTGCTTATTTTTCATTTCAATGAACATCTACAGAGACTTTGGGATTCCATTCATTCATTGTTGC